ACAGAATGAAATACTGCCTGGTCCTATGCAATGCTCACAACTGTTGCTATGCTTCAGCCCATCACTGCAGCCACTGTGCCAGTCCACCTTGTTGAGGGTCTTCCTCTCTTTTCTTGACCCTCTACAAAGCATGATATCCTTCTCCAGGGACAGGTCCCTCCTGATAACATGCTCAAAGTACGTGAGATGAAGTCTCACCATCCTTGCTTCTAAGGAGCATTCTGATTGTACTTCTTCCAGAAAGATTTGTTCGTTCTTCTGGCAGTCCATGGTATATTTGATATTCTTTACCATCACCATAATTCGAAGGTTTCAATTCTTCTTCGGTCTTCCTTATTCATTGTCCAGCTTTCACATGTATATGAGGCAATTGAAAATACCATGGCTTGGGTCAGGTGTACCTTAGATCTCAAAGTGACTTCTTTGCTTTTTAACACTTTAAAGGCCTTTTGCAGCAGATTTAAATGTAAAATGTTGTTTAACTTCTTGATGCTGCTTCCATGGGTGTTGATTGTGGATCCAAATAAAAGGGAATTCTCGACAACTTCAATATTTTCTCCATTTACTGTGATATTGCTTATTGGTCCAGTTGTGAGGATTTTTGTTTTCTTTATGTTGAGATGGAATCCATACTGAAGGCTATAGTCTTTGACTTTGATCAGTAAGTGCTTCAAGTCCTCTTCTCTTTCCCCAAGCAAGGCTGTGTCATCTGCATATCAGAGGTTGTTAATAAGTCTTCCTCCAATCCTGATGCTGCATTCTTCTTCATATAGACCAGCTTCCCAGATTATTTGCTCCGCATACAGATTCAGTAAGTATGGTGAAAGGACGCAACCCTGATGCACACCTTTTGTGATTTTAAACCACATAGTATCCCCTTGTTCTGTTTGAATGACTGCCTCTTGGTCTATGTACAGGTTCTTCATGAGCAAAATTAAGTGTTCTGGAATTCCCACTCTTCGAAATGTTATCCATAATTTGTTACATTCCACACAGTTGAATGTCTTTGAATAGCCAATAAAACACAGGTAAATATCTTTCTGGTATTCTCAGGTTTCAGCCAAGATCCATCTAACATCAGCAGTGATATCCCTTGTTCTGCATCCTCTTCTGCATCTGGCTTGAATTTCTGGCAGTTCCCTGTCGATATGCTACTACAATCACTTTTGAATTATCTTCAGCAAAATTTTACTTGTGTGTGATATTACCGATATGGTTTGATAGTTTTCACATTCTGTCGCATCACCTTTCTTTGGAAGAGGCACAAATATGGATCTCTTTCAGTCAGCTGGCCAAGTAGCTGTCTTCCAAATTTCTTGGCATAGATGAATGAGCACCTCCAGTGCTACATCCATTTCTGGAAACATCTCAATTGGTATTCCATCAATTCCTGGAGCCTTGATTTTTGCCAATGCCTTTGGTGCAGCTTGGACTCCTTCCTTCAATACTCTTGGTTCTTGATCATATGCTACCTCCTGAAATGGCTGAAAGTCGACCAATTCTTTTTGGTACAGCGACTCTATGTATTCCTTCCATCTTCTTTTGATGCTTTCTGGATTTTTCAATATTTTGCCCATAGAATCCTTCAATATTACAACTTGAGGCTTGAATTTCTTCAGTTCTTTCAGCTTGAGAAATTCTAAGCGTGTTCATCCCTTTTGGTTTTTTAACTCCAGGTCTTTGCACATTTCATTATAATAGTTTACTTCGTCTTCTCGAGCCATCCTTTGATATCTTCTGTTCAGCTCTTTTACTTCATCATTTCTTCCATTTGCTTTAGCTGATCTATGTTCAAGAGCAAGTTTCAAAGTCTCCTCTGACATCTATTTTGGTCTCTTCTTTCTTTCCTGTTTTTTTAACGATCTTTTGCTTTCTTCATGTATGATGTCCTTCATGTCATCCCACAACTCGTCTGGTCTTTGGTCATTAATGTTCAATGTGACAAATCTGTTTTTGAGATGGTCTCTAAATTCAGGTGAGATATGGTCATATTTTGGCTCTTGTGGACCTGTTTTAATTTTTTTCAGCTTCAACTTGAACTTGCATATGAGCAGTTTGATAGTGTGTTCTGCAGTTGGGCCCTGGCCTTGTTCTGACTGATAATATTGAGCTTCTGTATCATGCCTTTCCATAGTCAGTCTGATTCCTGTGTTTTCCATCTGGTGAGGTCCATGTGTATAGTCACCATTTATGTTGTTGAAAAAAGGTATTTGCAATGTATAATCATTGCACTTGCAAAATTCTATCATGTGATCTCCAGCATGATTTCTATCACCAACCACATACTTTCCAACTACTGATCATTCTTCATTTCCAACTTTTGCATTCCAATCACCAGTAACTATCTGCATCTTGATTGTATGTTTGATCAATTTTTTACTGCAGATGTTGGTAAAAAACTTCAATTTCTTCATCTTTGGCATTAATGGTTCATGTGTAAATTTGAATAATAGTCCTATTAACCGGTCTTCCCTGTAAGCATATGGATATTATCCAATCACTGTGTTGTACTTCAGGATAGATCTTGAAATGTTCATTTTGATGATGAATGCAATGCCATTCCTCTTTAATTTGCTATTCCTGACAGAGTAGACCATATGATTGTCTGATTTAAAATGGCCAATACCAGTCTTTTTCAGCTCACTAATGCCTAGGATATCGATCTTTATGCATTCCGTTTCATTTCTGACAACTTCCAATTTTCCTAGATTCACACTTCGTACATTCTACTTTCCGATTATTAATGGATGCTTGCAGCTGTTTCTTCTCATTTTGAGTCATTCCATATCATCAGATGAAGGTCCTGAAAGGACCTTAAGGTCAACTCTACTTTGAGTAGGCAGCTCTTCCACAGTTGTATTTTGAGTGCCTTCCAACCTGAGGGGCTCATCTTCCGGCACCATATCAGACAATGCTCCACTGTTGTTTATAAGGTTTTCACTGGCCAATTTTTTCAGAAGTAGACCACCGGTTCCTTCTTCCTAGTCTGTCTTAGTCTGGAAGCTCTGCTGAAACCTGTCCACCATGGTAACCTCGCTGGTATTTGAAATACTGGTGGCATAGCTTCTAGCATCACAGCAACATGCAAGCCACCACAGTATGACAAACTGACAGATAAGTGGTGGATCTCTAAAATAGAAGCAATGAATAGCAGAGCTGCATCTGGAAACCTGGTCTATATTTCTTCAAGCTTGTTCCGTTTCTATTGAAATGGCTTGAGTCCCTTCATGTATGCCAGATGCTAAGTCATATAGCCTTCAAATAAGCCACCCGCCTTCAGATCTCTGATTAAATGGTTTATCAATGGCTGATACCAGGCTGGATCAAGGACAATCACTCAGCTGTCTGACTATGCCTTTGAAGGAGGAACCCAGAAGAGAGAGAGAAGAAAGGGCAACAAGTTCAGAGAATGACAGTCAAAGGCAAGATACACCCCTTTACAACCAATCAAAGTTTCATAGAGCAGACTCCTCTTCTTTTCCACATTTTCCCTCAGAGAAATATCTAGAATACATTACACTTTTAGAGAAAAATAGAACATTGTGCTAAATAAAGATGCATAGATGATGTGATGCCTAGGAAAGTAGCTGGTTCCAAATCTGGACTCTCTTCCTTACTTGAAAAGATTATAATGTGGATTTCATGGAAAAATCAGTAAGATTTACAGAGAAAGAATAATTGTAAATGTTCATAACCAAAGGCCTGGTATAAACATCTACTTCTCCTCTGGGTCCTAAGCAGTGCTGTGATATGATATAACCCATTTTTCTCCTGCTAAATTGCAGGCGCAGATAATAATTTGTAGACAATAACGGGAAACTGAATGCCAGGGGTGAGCAAGGTGAGATGTAAATCCGGTGGGTTACCTGCTGCCTGCCCTTCAATTGCAGTTGACTAGGAAATGAGGTGCAACAGGGCTTTCCTTGACAGCTCTGTTCTTCATTATTTGCACACGGAGAAAATTATAGAGGTGAATCTTCTGCCAAGTGAGAAATTAGCAGTTGAAAGAAGGGTGTGTGCTAGGAGGTGGGCCATGGTGTAATTTGGGGTTGCTGTTAATAAGGCTTTTATAGGAGGTTCTCAAACCATCTTGGAAGACTAAAGATCATGGGAATAGATTATAGGTTTATTCAAAGCAAACTGAAAAGCTGCCAGTACTGGAGGAGAAAAAGCCAATATTTATTCAGTGGCTGGGAGGAACCCTATTTTTAATCTATCTGCCTGGAAGAATTCAGAAACTTGAATCATGAGGTTTCTACCAGGCCAACAACAATCATTTTAACTGAATGAACAAAGAAGAACAAGAAGAACATAATAATCCCCACTATAGAGATAGGACAGTCTTTTGAAGCTAAAAGGAAGAGAAAAAAGACTACAGGCACCAGGCTAAGGAGAGAAACACACACACTCTAATATTCCAGAAGATGGTGGAGATGGGAGAAAGTGGATCACCACATAGACAACAGAGGTACTCCGAAGTCATTATTTTCTATAAACCAAATCAGGCCATCTTAGTATGGTGATGATAAAAGGACTAATACTTTGTATAAAATGTATACCTTTCCAAAAATATAACATGTATATCCTGTCATTTGATTCTCATGCACTCTTGTGATGGAAGTTCTAGTGATGCTGTGATGACATTCTCGTGCTGGGTTCAGTCTCTATGTATTGTTCAACCATGTTGGACAGTTGTTCATGTTAGTACCTGCAGATATATCTAATTCTGTGTAAACAATGTAGAGTAGTCCATAGTGTGGATATACTGATTAATTTAGTCATTCCTTACAATAAACTCTCTTGTATGTGTTTCTTTGTGAGGCTATAGTTTACAAACAAGAAACTTAGGACAATGTCAAAGATCCGACAAACAGCTAATGCCCTCCCTCTACAATCCAGATCTCACAGATAGCCCTCTGTGGCTGTGCTGGTGGTCAGCTACCAGCAGGAGGTGTGGCTCAGACTGCAGGAAGAAGCAGAAATGTCTCCTGGGGACTCACCTGCTCCAGGTCTTCGGCCAACCTTCTGCTCTCTCCTGTCGGGTCCTGATAGGGTAAGACAAAGAGCTCGGCAGCAGTGGGAAGACCAGGAAGCACTGCAACCAAGATGCTCTGGCCTGGGACCCCTGTGGCCTAGGCAAGAGACAGAGAGGCTCATGTAAGTCCTGAAGGCATAAAAACCAGGTAGAGAGCAGGATGATAAGAAGGGACCAGGTATTTGTCAGGGGGTCAGAGGGTGCAAGGGATGAGGGCTGGGAGGTGAAATCAGGGCCCAGTGCACCATGGCAGGAAGGTGCTGCCAAAGGTAGCAAGGGGGCTGGAGTGTGGCTCTGCAGTCAAACTCTGATGCTTATCTCTAACTCCATCACCGTGAGACCTTACACAAATTGCTTTCTCCTTTGCGTCTATGTGCCTTCTAATAAAAAACGGGGATAATAAGAGTCCTTGCCTCTTAAAAGGGTGATTTTGAGAATTAAACGAGTTACACAGAAGCATTTATAACAGCACCTAGTACATAGTGAGGATTTCAATGTTAGCTCTTCTTATTGTAGAGTATCTGTGGACTGGAGCTCTGGAGGAGACCAGCGCTCACTTCCAAGGCTTTATCATCTGCCTCTCACGCCATCACTCTCTCTAACCTAGCTTTCTTTTTTCACTGCACTAGAGTTACTCCACAAATCCACCCACCACATCCTAATCTCCTAATCTAGGAAGGTTTCCGCCCACACCACAACCCTCAGGCAGCTCTTGACTTCTCTGCAGTATCAAATCCTGATAACCAGGCCCTGTTTCATGAAGCACTCTAAGGCCTCACTTTGCCAATTTGACTCTTCCAGTTATCCTCCAACCTCTCAGACTGCTATGCCTCTGTCTCCTTGTCCAGCCCTTTCACCGTCAAAATATAGATGTTACTCAAAGATGTCCTCCTTGTCTTTGTTCACCTGCTCTGTCTTTTATCTCAAGGTTAACCGTGAGTCCTCTCTAGATGTTTCTAAAATCATTAGGTACCATCTCAGCTTCTTTCTTGAGCACTCAATCAGACTTTGTCACTTGGTTGTTTCATCAGGACTTTCAACAAACATGTCAAAAACCCAAACAAATAAAAATTTATTTTAACACCAAAAACCTTCCTTCTACGTTTGGGTAAGCAGAAGCTGTCCTTTCCCAGATAGCCTAGCCTGAAGCCTTATCTTCACCTCTGGCCCACAATCTTCTTTCCCTTGCCATTTCTAATCAGTTTTTAAGATCTTGATGAGTTGACATCCACATTACATAATCTTTTTTAAACACCCACTGTTAATATCCCAATTCTGCTGCTATACCTTCTTCTCTGAGATTTTACCATAACCTTATAATTTTCAGGAGACATGCTACTACTTCCAGATTTATCTTCCTACAGCCCAACTCAGATCATGTTTCCCTGTACAAAATTCTTGCAATATTTCCCTTTACTAAATGGATTAAATATAGATTCAAGGCCTTCTGCAATGTGATCCCAAACTTTCTAATTACACACAACTCACACAGGCATCCTGTGTTCCAGCCAAATGGAATAATGCACAATATCTCAATAGTCCAGCCTTTTCCTGCAAACATTTTTGCACATGCCATCTCTATCCAGAATACCCTTCCTCTCCATTTGCTGATAGAACCCTACTTATACTTTATGAATCTTCTTAAAGTCTACTTATTTCAGTACATTTTTCATAATTTCCCAACTAGGTGTTTGTCTCTGAAATCCACAGCGTGTACCTTTTTAGAAGTAGTAGCAAGAAAGTCCATGTACTGGGTCCTTACCTGTGCCAGGCATTGTGCTAAGCAACTAAGCAATACTATATTATGCAACTCCCACAATAACCCTTTGAAACAAGTATTGATTGCTATGTCTCACTTGGCAGGTGAAGACGTTTCACAGGTTGGGGTCCTCAGGAAGTAGACACTGCATTTAGTGAGAAGGTATTTATTAAGCAGTGCTCTTGAGATCAACAGCTATGAGAGTGAGTTACCATGTAGGCCAAAGACAGTCTCAAGAGCTACCCATGGGGAGCTCCTGAGCCCTTCAGAGTTGTCTCAAGTTGGGCTGAGATGGCCAAGGCTTAGTATGGGCATAAGCCACCCTGGAAAGGGGCATGACCTGGGGCAAGGTAATTCACTGCAGCTGAGGCAATTCCTGAAGGGGCTACAACTGAAGCCTCTGCCCACAGCACTCCTAGCAGCTGGGACAAGTCCGTCCATGAATGGGGATATGGATGCATCTCTATTCCCAACACAGGACACACAGATGTAAGAAGGTGAAACAGTTGGCCATCCGAGTAGTGAGCGGTGAGGCTGAGTTTGGAAACTTGATATGACTATGAAGTCTGTTTTCTTAATTACCACTCTGTTGCTTCCTTCCCCTGATGCTTATCAGACACCAGCTCCTATGACAGCTAATCTCATACTGATTTACGCCCCTACTAGATTTTAAACTCAGAGACTATGTCTGGATCATCTTCATTATATAGAAAGGGCTCAAGAGATGTTTACTGAATGACATTCAATTAAAGATTTCTTTGTGAAATATCAGTACAAAAGCTCCTTTGTTAAGGAAAAGGCAACAAATTTTGTGCAAAATTCTGTTGCATAATACGTAGGAAGAAAACAAGAAATAAGCAGACTCCAAGTTGTACCTCCTGTAGGGTTTATGAGGGTACACTTGACAATTTGGTACGTCGAGACTTAAGGAAGTGGCAGTGCACTGAAATCCAAAAGTAATTACTGATCTCAAAGACAGAATAGGAGGCTGGGAACCAGGGGCTGCGTCAGCTGCCTCTTGGCATTTGGTAACCAGGGAGCGCTGGTAACTGGAAGGCATTAACCTCACCACCACCATCACCCACCATCCTGTCGTGAGGGGTGGTGAACGAATCCTTTTATTCTACATTTAGCTGGTTTTGCTATGCAGCAGCCTAGAAATACTGATGAGCAGTAATTTCTAGCCTACTGGACAGATGGTGAAAAGGTGAAGACCCAGAGCATCTGATCCCTGGATAATACGTGTGGGGAGACATCAGCCTGGAAATCTACTTCTTGCTGAGCTAGTGCCTGGTTGATAAATCACTCGGGAGAGATGGACCGCCACCTGGGAGATCTACAGGGGTATGGGTCTCCAGAACACTGCAAACTGAAGGAGGTTGGCGGTGGGTTCATGGTTGGCTATAAGTCTTCTCTCTTGGACAGCAGAGGAGAAAAACCAGCTGTCACACTTGGGACAGATAGTTCCAAGGGCAGAAGGGTTTATTCCATTTGGATCTGTAGTCTGGCAGCTGTGCCCCCTGGTAGTTACAACATTTAGGCACCAATCATGTCAAGGATGCTGAGAGAGCCATGTAGACAGTGAGATGTCAGTTACCCAGAGGCACATGAAGATACCCCTTCTCTACCCTAACATTACTCCACCCATTCCTGTTACTCCATGTAATATGACAAAAGGTGGCTACACAGTGGAGTGGTCTGGAAACCCTAGAATCAAGGTTCAAACTGGATAGTCTGAGAACAGAGCCTGATTTTTAACTGTATGACCTTGGGCACACAATCTAATGTCTCTAAGTTCAGATTCCTCACCTGTGAAGTAGGAATAATCATAGCATCATAGTATCAACATCATAAGCTCATTTGGGAGATTAAATGTGTTAAAGTTGCAAAGCACTGAACAGAATGCCTGGAATATCGTTAAGTGCTAAATCCATGCCAATGAAGGTGATGGCAACAGCTATGAAGATGGGGAAGACCAGCTCTTTGCCAAGAGGCTGGATCGGGAACCTATTTTCTGAGCAGGAGTTACTGAACACTTTTATCTCCTCATCTCTTGTTATCACGTGGCATCATATACTGGGTGAAAGCAGGGGAAACAATGTACTAAAAACTCTAAATTGAATGTCCTTCTGGGTTAAAAAAAAAAAAACACCCTGGGGAGGTGTAGCTCATCTATGACTCTTTTTTAGTTTTCTGCAATAAATCCAACCCCCCCGCCCTGGGTGGCTGCCCCATTTCTTTCCTCACTCATGAAAGTGGAGTATACTGAGGGGAGATTTGCCTGAAAGAAAATGCCTTCTCAAACTGTCAGTGACATTTTCTCAGAGAGGGATAAACCACACATCCTTGTACTCTCCCAGAAATCTTAGGAGGCTGTGTTGCACGTATAAAAACCCAGACATTGAGCTCAGACTTAAAAGTTGTAGATTCTCCACCTAAAAGCTGCAAGACTTTGGGCAAATTCCTTAGGTTCTCTAATTCTCAGTTACCTCCTCTGTAATATGAGGATAATGGGACCTTCCTCTCAGAGCTGTTGTAGGACAGAGATGCCCTTAAAAGAACTGGGGTATAGAAATATGACTGAGGACATGCACTGAGTGCTCTCTGTGATGCCTGCAGGTTTGTGGAGTTGGAACCCAGTGCTGCTCTTACTAACTGTACTCAGCCCCGAAGACTCTTACGTGGTGTGTCCTTTCATTACTACGTGCAATAGCCGACGCTACACTTACTAATGACCTGATGGTGGGCTTTCCTATATAACTGTCATAAGTGTCGATGTTCTTCTCCTTACTCGCCAAGCAGAATAAGCTTCACAGGGGTCAAGGACCATGGGTTTGTGTCTTGTTTGCATGTCCACCATAGCACCTATACATCTGCATGTGTAGGGCTCAGCAATAAAGATATCAGACAGATTAACTAAACCTCCATAGGCTT